CAGGAACTTAGAAACCTTTTGCTCACCTGCGATTACAGAATCTAGTAGTAGTATTCAAACGACATATTTTCCTGCCATAACTTCAGAAAAAAAAAAAGGTGTTAAAATAAAACTATGAATAAAGGGTTAAAATATAATATAAATAAAAACTTTAATATACTAATAGTTTTTACAAATTCGTTTTAACCAAAGAACCAGGAAAAAAAATATACAAGCGTAAAAAACCATCATTTATTCGTGACTATTTTGACAAAATTGTTAGTAATGAGGGTGAAGATATTTGGGTTTGCAAAATCGTGAAGGAAAATGGTAAAAAATGTGGCAAAGAATACAAGAATGTCAGAAGTTCAACGGGAAATCTCATTACGCATCTTAGAGACAGCCATGAAATCGTTTTACAGGACAAAGAAGTTGTTAAAAAAGTATACTTCCTTTCTTTTTTTCTTTTTTTTTATTTATCTTTTTATTTTTTTATCTTATTTTATTTTGTTAATTTTTTTTTTTTAACCACGAGACACCAAAATTACAAACTTTATACGAAAGCCCTGTCCCCATCCTAATCACATTCAAAAAAAGTGTGAAGAAGCAATTCTTAAATGGATATTACTTACAAACCAGCCTCTTTCTACAGTTACAAATGATGTATACAAGGAAAAAATGGCTGAGTTCGATCTCTCCTTTATTATGCCAGAAGAAAAAAAAATTAGAACTATGATTATTAAAAGTTACAAATATAATCAAGAAATTTTAAAAAATCTTCTTACCCAAATGGCAGAAAACGTTTCTCTTACAATGGATTTTTGGTCTAGTAGAGCCAAGCACGGATATCTCAAAATCACTGCAACCTGAATTATACCAAATTTTGAAATTAAAGACATTATGTTAGAAAATAAATATGTTCCTTCACCACACTCCAGTAGGATCATTGCTGATAAAATTTATAAGTATATTGAAGCTTGGAATCTTAGACACCATATTACATCAATTACTACCGACAATGGATCAAATATGGTCACAACTTTTCCCTTATTGAA